CCTCACGTCCTGCTGCCGTCTCGCCCTTGATGCAGCGGCCACTGCGGGGCAGGGGGCGCCTCTGGCAGCCGATGAGAACTGGAGCCCCTCAGGAGGAAGAGGCAGAAGGGGTTCGATCCGCACGGACGCAGCCGCGAGAAAACGAGCTGGGAGAATCGAGGCCCTAGAGTCAGGAGGCGGGGGGGGGAGTCGGCCCCCGGCCAGCAAGAGATGCCGCGCCGCCTCCGCTTCCACAACCAGCCGTCCGGGAGAAGGGGTAGCCGAGAGGAAGACCTAGGGGGAGAAACCGGCTCTCCGGTGGCAGAAGCCGGAAAGCGCCCTCCTGCCGCGCCCCCCCCTGAAAGAAGCCGCCAGCTCCCGCGGTGGCCCGGGGGACCGGGCAGGCACCGGAGACCTTGCGGGAATCGCGGAGGGCCGGGCAACGGTAGCGGTTGGCGAGTCGGAAGCCCCTGACCCGAGGAGGGAAGATGGGGGAGGGCTTGCCAGGGTCGGGTGTGCGGGGCGGGGGAGCGAGCGGGACGGTCTGGCGGCTGGAAACACCGGGACCGCAGGGAGGATCGTTCCCAAAGCCTGGAGGGCGCCCCCGAACGGGGCCCAGGAGCTGCAGGCGCTGGAGCGAAAGGATTTTGGGGCGAGGGGACGGTCGAGGAGGGAGCGGGGAAAGCGGGCGGCCAGGACGCGTCCGGGGCTCCCGAGCTGTGCTCGCCGGCCCTCCGGCCGGTTACCTCTTCAGGCGGAGGCTACTGGCGCTGCGGCTGCCCCGGTTCTCCACCAGACGAGCCCTCTCCGAGGGATCCCCGCCGGTGCCCGCGGGGGGCTCCATCGCGCCGGGAAGGAAGGGTCGCCCGCGGCGCTGAGCTCGGCCGCCGGAAGCTCACTCGAAGGCGCGCCCGGAGCGCTCCATGGCAGGGGAAGAGTCGCTCCGTCGGATGATGCAGCTGTCCAAAGGACCGGCCAAGAGTAGGCGCGGGCGCGGGGGTGGGATGGGGATGGACCAAGTCAGGCCACGCCCTTCGTCACAGGCTCCTCCCCCTGCGGGCAACCGGGTGCCACCTCCCACACCCCCATTCAACCGGCCTCAGGGCACGCAAAAGAGCCCCCTTCCCCGAGACTGGGAACCAGAGGATTCCCCGCGCCCAAAGGCGGAAGGGAGACGGTGCCGGGGCTCCGTCCAGGGTGGAAGCGAGATGTCCCTGCGCTGCTGCTTCTTGGGGAGGAGGGTCCCACGGACTCGCTGCAGAAGCCTGCCCGGCAGGCCAGGGACAGGGGTCGCACGCGAGAATCAGCCGGAGCCCTTAACAGCCCTCCCGCCAGGACCGCCAGGAGGGGAAGGGATGCAAGCCGGGCCGTTCCCGAGGAGACCGGGGCGCGCAGGTAGAGGGCGGCCGGGCGCCTCGGCTTCCGCCGGCTTCCAGTGCACCAGCAGCCGAGACAAGCCTCTGGCACTCCCGCTCCGCATCTGCCCTGGGAAGGGAGAAGAGGGGACGTGCCAGGAGGCAGCGGGAGACACCGGCGCCGCCCCCATCCCGAAGGCGAGGGCCCCTCGGCCTCCCAGACCGTCCAGTCCGCCTCTGGTTTTTTTTTTAAATTATTAATACAAAATAAACCTACTATTACACAAAAAACCCTATATAAAATACAAAACAATACAATACAATAAAATAGAATTACCCATGTGCACCCGGGGCGCTGCAAAGGAGGCCGGACTGCAGGCGCTTCTGCCCGACGGCGGCTCGGAGCGCGGGCGGCCCGGGGCACGCGGAAGACCGGTCTGGGGTGGATGGCAAAGACCCGGACCTCGAGCCCCGGCAAGGAGCGGGGACGCCGGCCGGCCGAGCCCCGTGCTAAGCATCAGAAACCGCGGGGGCTGAAGGACCGGAGCCGGCGGCGGGAGGCAGACGGAGCCGCCGCCGCCGCCGCCTCCACTACCGGGCGCCCCTCCTCTGGGTCCACTGCCTTTCTGCCCCTCCCGGATGGCTTAGCGCTGAAGAACGGATGGCAGGGTGAAAGATGGCGGGGGCGGAGGTGCCCAGGGATCGCGCGGGCGGGGGTCTCTCGGGAAGTGCAGGAGAGACAGGTGAAGCCGAGCTGAGAATATGGTGACGCGCCAGAGCGAAACGATGCGGATTCCGGCGCCCTCCGAGATCCTGATTTCCAGACGCAATTCACGGAACATCTTGGCTGGAAGGTAGTGGATCGGGGAGAGGGAGGGGGAGGGGGGCACCGGGGGGCACCCTTTCTTTCTTTCTTTCTTTCTTTCTTTCTTCCTGTGCTCAAGAACAGGTGCTGGCCTGCCGCATTTTCCTTCATAATTTCTCCCGCCCGAATAGCTTGCCTTTCCCCACAAAAACCCGGTGCGGATTTCCTGCCTGGTTCTTGGGGCCCAGCTTTACAATCCTATGATTCCATGAAGAGGTTTAGGATCCCGGGAGCGCCATTTTATTCCGCTTGGCCATGGCGGGGCCATGATGTGACGGGGGCTCAAACCCCAAGCCTGAACGTGCCGGGAGTGTTTCTCTTAAACCTGGGCTGGCAGAGGATGCTTCCGCCAGGCGTGCGCTTGGGGGGGGGGGCGTGTGTGCGGGCGGCAGGGTGTTTGAGCAAACGGCAGCGAAGCCCCTATTCTTTCGGGAGAGACGTCTTGGCACGCTGGTTCCCAACTGGACTCATTCCCGGGGATATATAAAAGGGCGGGGGTTAGGGTTAGGGTTTATTCCAATAATAAAATAAACTGGAATGAATAAACTCCGCAAAGGATCCCACCCACTTCCTTAATGAAAGGTGTCCGGGAAAACAGCGCGGAGGAGACCTTCAAATAAACGCAGGATCCTGCAAAACCTCCCGGCGGCCCCTCCAGCCGCTCCCCCCCCCCCCCGCTCCGAAAACAAAGAAACGGGGAGCCCCTGCTCTTCAGAGGCGACCCAAGCGGGGGTCCTTCCGCCTTGGCTTCGAAAACTGCTTTCTAAGACCGGACTTACTTATGCTGCCTTTCACTAGATATCTTGTTATATATGTCGAGGAAAGCGCTGGTGGGTAGAAGAGCCGCTGGCCAATGTCCAAAAGACAAAATTGCCAACATTTTCTAAGGCCAGAATCCTCTTCAGCTAGACAGCTCATGCACTGGACCACAGGGTAAATGATCTGACATTCACTGCTCCTATAAATCCCGTACTTCATTAAGTATAGTGGAATATAATAAATGTGTTAGTCTTTAAGGTACCACAGGACTTTTTGATCAGTATTCTCTTGCTCCATTCGACATGAATGGTGCTCTGTTGCTCTCTGGGGTTTTCCCAGAGCTTGCATAAGCAGCTGCGTGGCTTGGCTCTCCTCTGCCCTGCCCGAAAACCATTCGCCCGCCTTGAAGGAAGCTCAGCGCCCGGGGATGGGCGGCGGGCAGGGCCGGGAAGGCGGCGAGGGAGCTTCTTTCTCGTTTCCCTTTCTATAATGTAGTAAGAACAACTACTGAATGATGGGATTCATCATCATTCTTAAATGATTGTACTGGCTTTATAGAGGGTGTGGCTCTCCTCTGCCCTGCCCGAAAACCATTCGCCCGCCTTGAAGGAAGCTCAGCGCCCGGGGATGGGCGGCGGGCAGGGCCGGGAAGGCGGCGAGGGAGCTTCTTTCTCGTTTCCCTTTCTATAATGTAGTAAGAACAACTACTGAATGATGGGATTCATCATCATTCTTAAATGATTGTACTGGCTTTATAGAGGGTGGAGGGTTACGGTTCGTGGTTTATTGTCGCCTGTGTCTGTTTGCTTGCTTGCTTGCTTGCAAGCCCCTAAGAGTAGTGCTTTGCAGGAAGTCTGCCGTATTTAAATTAAATTAAATTAAATTATAAATTAAATTAAAATAAAATAATGAAATCGTAGAATGGCAGGGCTGGAAAGGACCTCTCGGGGACCATGGAGTCTGGCCCTTAGGAAGCGCTTCCGGATGTTTAGTCGAAATCTCCCTTCTTGTACAGTCAAACCATTCTTTCTGGCCGCAGCCTCTTAAGCTGCGGAAAATAAGCCTCGGACCGAAGGAAGATGGCTCTCCGGCTGCCTTCTCCTCTCCGGGCTACACGTGTCTGGAGAACCATGAGGAAAAGGGTTGGCGGAGTCTCCCTGCTTTTCTCCGACGCCTTTGGATGCCGCCCTGGCTCTCTTGGCCGGGAGAAAGGGCAGCCGCCACCCGGCAAAAGCGACCGCCGCTCCTCTGCCCGGGCCAGCCTGCGGCGCCCCTTTGCTGGGCCGGAGGGAGACCTGGAGAGGACCCGCCGGCCTCAGCCTCGTTCCCAGGGGCAGGGCGCCCCGGCGGGCTGGCCGCGTTCAGCCGCAGCTCTGGACGGCGGTGGCCCTCCTCGCACCGAACGCGGCGTCTCGGCGCTGGGCCTGGGGAGCGGATCGGCGGGGGGGGAAGGAGGAGGGGGGGGGGGGGGCATCTCCCCCTCCCCCCCGGGCGAGGGCCGGCCCGCCT